TATATATACTATACAGGAGGGTGTGTTTGTAAATATACTATATTGGGGTAGGGTTTATACTGCACAGTGTGTGCCTAAAAACTAGCATTTCGACCGGGCGGTCAAAATTGACCTGGTCCGAGACGGGCAATTTTGACCGGGCCGAAAAAAAGGCTAAAAAGAGCAAGAAACATAAACTTTTTACACTGAACTTAACATTAGCATAGAACTAACATAAAATGCAAACTTTTCATAGAAATTAAAAAAAATTTTGAAAACAATTTTTCACAGATTTATATCTGTTGGATCCGAAGGTTCCTGAATTTAAATCTCTCACTATTGTTGCTAGCTGCTCTATCACCCAATCGACCTGTAACATGCCTGCAACCTATAGGCGATACTCGGTATATCTAAAGGAAGGGTGGGAATGAAATAGGACGACATTTGGTTTAGAAATGAAGGCGCTAAAAAATAAAAACCTTACCCGGTCAAAATTGACCGTCTCTTCACTAATATGGGTTAATAAAGTGTTCTAGCAAAATTGAAACCTGGTTAAAGGTAAAGTGGTAAAAATGCCATCTGGCAAATTGACACCTGTCATCTGGCAACTCATTCATATCAGAAAGTGGCCCTATGTTAATTGTCACTAGGAACTAAGTACCCTACATGTATATTTTAGTGTTCCACTGAATGTAACTAATGATAAAAATAGAATAATAGTTTGAAGAAACTCTTCTGCATATTAACAACTTTAACCCGGCATGATAAATTTAATTTTTTAGACCAAAGAGGAAAAACTGACATATTCAATATATTTTCTAGGAATGTTAGATCTTATAATTGTTTCCTCCTTTTTTTTACTTCTTGGACTCCTCAAAACAATATTTGCATAGGAATTGGACAGAGAGTAAGTTTAATCTTTAAAATGAATGATTAATTTCTTTTCTCAAAGAATAAATATAAATCGTGTTTTAACCAATTCCAAGTTAATTATTTTCTCCTGGAGATAGTGAACTTGGTGTCAGCTTATCAACAAAGGCCATCTCACATAATCCATCCTCCCTAAGAATCTCAGAATTAACTTGGAATTAAATCATCATAAATGACTGGAATTTAGAATCCATTTTCCTAAACAGGAATATTTTTCCTAAAAACACAGATACATAAGAAATTGGTAGCATGGCAAACTTACCTGTAAAGGAAAGAATTGTACAGTGATCCCAGGCGAAGAGAAGATGCACACTGAAATTCAGATTTATAATCAAACTTTAATAGCTTTGTGAAAATGGGGGGAACCCTCTAACGTTGGTATATTGGATTCTTGCTTAACTAATAACATTTAGCTTTGAAATTTAGAATACCTTTAAGTGAATGGTAAAATATTAAGAAAATCAACATTTTTGTAAAGTGACATTGTTAACTTAAACAGGTCAAAAACCACTCGAGGGAAGAGTGTAACTTGTATTCACAATAATTATTGTTTGCCTTACAGCATGTTTTTAACACCCACTTTTAATCTTAATGATGTATGTTACAAAATGGGACTTAGCCTGCATTTAGAGGCATTCAATCAATCTAAGCAACATCAAGTAATTGAATATAGATAATAGGCAAAGATACCTCAACTGGAGACCTGAATCTGCGTGTACTGACAACACTTCTGGTTTTCCAGAACTCCTGGCTGACTTCTCTTGGTCCAAAAGTGTAGGATCTTTCCTCCCCCCAGCACTTGGACATTTAAAGTTATTGTTATAATAACATTTTATCTTTTATTTTGATTTAATTTAATGAATGTTTTAATTTGATAAGCTTTGGAAACCTGGGTTCTGGAGCAATCTTCTAGCAATTAATGTAAAATAACTTTTCCTGAGAAATAAGAAGGAGAAACAGAATACTTCTTTTCTCTAGCAGTAACATTCTGTTTTCTGATAACAAGTTGGGGATTATTTGTGTATGTATTTTTAAAAAATTACATGGAATGCAACCTGGAAATAAAATGGCCAAGGTATGCTTATTTAGCTATTATCTCATAGCCAGTATATTTGTTTTTGCATATATTATAATATAGTATATGAATAAAAATCAATAAAGCAATGCACTGAGTTTCTCAAATATTCGACGCTTCGGTTTTTCTTACAATATATTTATATACAAAAGATACAAACTTTAAATCGAACGATACTAATACAAACGAGATATTGTGAATCTAATCAGATCTATCAAACAGGAGACATTTTACATTTTCATTTTCATCNTTTAATCTATACATTAAAAGTTTAAATGCCAGAAATCCATAAAACAAAGCACTAAGCCAAAATTTTTAAATTATGTGAATTTTATTATATTGTGGAGGAGCTAGAAAGTCATCTCTCATTTACTATCCAAGAAACCCAAAGTCAATTAATATATAGTTCGTTTATCTAACTGTTGTAAAATAGATTTCAATATAGAATTAGTCCTTTTTATTTCTCTTGTCATTCTGTGTAGCTACAATATTTTATTTTTGTTAAGAAGGAAATAAGATTTTAAGCATGGAATAGGGCTAAAAATCTAAACCATTTACCATAAAATTAACAAAGTTTACTAAAAAAAATAGCATTATTTAACTATTTTTATTATAAATTAACTTTTTGGGGAAAAAAAAACATGCAAAGCAGAGAACAAATCTTGCTATTGAGGAAACAACTTTTCCAACTACATAACTAACTTATGACACTAATGAATCCCTGATATATGCATAGCTACGCTTGTGATGCTGTAAGACCCAAGATGGCCTTGAGAAGCCTTGGCAGTGTAAAATTCCCTCCTATATTTGTTGCATCCCTATTGCCCTCCTTGTAATGAAGAGATTACTAGCTATTAATTATGAAATCATTATATTTATTATGAAATTGCTTTGGGCCTAAGGAAGTTGTTGGTAGGGATGTTTAAGTTTTCATTTTTTTTAAAAAACGATCGTTTCATTATAAAAACGACGACGAAAAATCGAAAACGAAAGGATCGTTTTTAAAAACCATCATTTTTTCAAAAAGTTCGTTTTTTAAAAATGGTCGTTTTTATAAAAATCTTTGTTTCGTTAACGACCGTTAACGACGACCTTTCTTTAACGACCGTTAACGACGACCTTTCGCTATCGACCGTTAACGATGACCTTTCGTTAACGATCGTTAACATCAAACCTTTGTTAACGATCTTTAACGACGACCCTTTGTTAACGATCGTTAACGAAGAGAGGAAACCGACCTGTACTTATCATTGGGTAGTTTTTAAGAAAATATCAAGAAGTTTTAGCTCCCCCACAACTTTTTAACTTCATGTAAGACGACATTCAAAAAAGTTGCATGTAATTTTTTTTTCAAAAATGTCCGTTTTCATAAAGCTTGTTGTTTCGTTAACAATCGATAACGAAAACCCTTCGTTAACGATCATTAACGACGAAAACAATCGTATAAAAAACGGTCACAAATCGTTTTTTAAAAAACGATCATTTTCTAAAACTATCGTTATTCGCTTTCTAAAAGTTCAAAACGAGTGGGTCCTTTTTAAAAACTATCGTTTTTTCCAAAAACGAAACGATGGTTCTTGAAAAAGATTAAAAAAAAAGAAGCAAAAAACGATCGTTTAATGAATGGGCTGAATGAAAATTAAAGAAAATAGCAAGGCATTGTTTGGATCATTTAGTTAGAAAATGAATGAAATAGATGGAACATGAATGCTAATTCTGATTCATGGTTGTTAAAATACAAATATTGATAAGGTAATAATTAGGACGGTAACTAGATAAAGCGTATACCTACTTGAAAGTACTAATTAGGACAATAACTTGATGAAGTGTATGCCTTCTTGAAAGTTCTAATTAGGACTGTAACTGGATATAGTGTGTACCTACTTGAAAGTACTAATTAGGACTGTAACTTGATTAGTGTATGCCTACTTGAAAGTACTAATTAGGACTGTAACTTGCTATAGTGTGTACCTACTTGAAAGTACTAATTAGGACTGTAACTTGATGAAATGTATGCCTACTTGAAAGTTCTAATAAGGACTGTAACTTGATATAGTGTGTACCTACTTGAAAGTACTAATTAGGACTGTAACTTGATAAAGTGAATGCCTACCTGAAAGTACTAATTAGGACTGTACATTGATGAAGCATTTATCTACTTTAATTAGGACGGTAACTTGATGAAGTGTGTACCTACTTGAGTTGAAAGTTCTAATTAGGACTGTATCTTAATGAAGTGAATGCCTACTTGAAAGTTCTAATTAGGACTGTACATTGATGAAGCATTTATCTACTTTAATTAGGACAATAACTTGATGAAGTGTGTACCTACTTGAAAGTTCTAATTAGGACTGTATCTTAATGAAGTGTATGCCTACTTGAAAGTATTAATTATTACTGTAACTTGATAAAGCGTATATATACTTGAAAGTACTAATTAGGACCGTATCTTGATGAAGCATATTCCTACTTGAAAGTATTATTACTGTAACTTGATAAAGCGTATATATACTTGAAAGTACTAATTAGGACCGTATCTTGATGAAGCATATTCCTACTTGAAAGTAATAATTATAACTGTATCTTAATGAAGCATATTCCTACTTGAAAGTACTAATTAGGACTGTAACTTGATAAAGCGTATACCTACTTGAAAGTACTAATTAGGACTGTAACTTGATAAAGCGTATACCTACTTGAAAGTACTAATTAGGACCGTATCTTGATGAAGAAAATTCCTACTTGAAAGTACTAATTAGGACTGTATCTTGATGAAACATATGTCTACTGGAGTAGGACTGTAACTTGATGAAGTGTGTACCTACTGGAAAGTCCTATTTAGGACTGGAATATGGAACCCTCATTGCTATGTAACCATGTAACTATAAAAACTAAAATTTCATACATCGTTGGACAGCCTTGAGCTTAGTTGGTGCTATGGAAACGCCTCAACACGGAAACGGGCTCAAAAGTGAGTTTGGGTCCGTTTCCTTCTTTTTTCAAGAATTATCGAAAATCCCTAAAAAACTAAAAAGTGTTGAGAGATTTCCGAATATTTTGGGTCGGTTTTTGCTATATTTACATTTGATTCGTTTCCCGCATTTTTTGGGTTCGTTTCCTCTTTTTTTGGGTCCGTTTCCGGTTTCAAAAAAAGTTTCAAAATCTCAGTTTGTTGATCGGTTTCCCCATTTTTTCGATCCTTTCCCCCATTTCGGGGTCTGTTGCCGGTTTTCAGAAAAAGTTGTAAATTCTCAGTCTGTTGATCGTTTCCTCTTTTTTTGACCCGTTTAATCATATTGAAGGTTAGTTTTTTTAATAACTTTTAAATTCTCAGTTTGTTGATCGGTTTCCTCTGCTTTTGGGTCCGTTTCCTCATTTTTTGGTCCGTTTCCGGTTTTCAAAAAAAGCTTTAAATTCTCAGTTTGTTGATCGGTTTCCTCTTTGATTGGTCCGTTTCCTAATTTTTTTTTGGTCCGTTTCCGGTTTTCAAAAAAAGTTTTAAAGTCTCAGTTTGTTGATCGGTTTCCTCTTTTTTGGGTCAGTTTCCTCATTTTTTGGGTCCGTTTCCGGTTTTCAAAAAAACTTTAAAGTCTCATTTTGTTGATCGGTTTCCTCCTTTTTTGGGTCCATTTCCTCATTTTCTGGGTCCGTTTCCGGTTTTCAAATTAAGTTTTCAATTCTTAGTTTGTTGATCGGTTTCCTCTTTTTTTTGGGTTCGTTTCCGATTTCAAAAAAAGTTTCAAAATCTTAGTTTGTTGATCGGTTTCCCCATTTATCCGATCCTTTCCCCCATTCTGGGGTCTGTTGCCGGTTTTCAGAAAAAGTTGTAAATTCTCAGTTTGATGATCGTTTTCTCTTTTTTTGACCCATTTAATCATATTGAAGGTTAGTTTTTTTAATAACTTTAAATTCTCAGTTTCCACATTTCTGCTTTCCTAATGAAAGTTTCTTTTTAATGAAAACGCGTAAAAATTAAGAAAATATAAAATATGTGCAATAGTTAAAAACCATAAAAAATATATTTTGTCAAAAAAACAAAACAAAAAAAACTAAGGAAAGAAATGCCAACCAAATCATTTATACGTATTTAAATAGTATAATTCTTTTTAATAAAATGTGAAGCTTAAAAACTGAAATATAGATTTACGAAATAAAGTTTTAGATTGAATGCAATATTGCACATTAATATATTTACGTCGAGAACTAACATAGGTGGTTTCATATTTTAGACAAGGGGGGGGGGGTTTAAAAGCACGAATTTTTTTTTTCCCCCCCCCCCCCCACTCTAAAGCTAAATGTTCTAATTACCCCCCTAACCTTCCTAAAAATACAGTTTCGTTTACCTTTAAAAACAGGGTAGGCAAAAATTGTCTTAATAATCCATTTATTTATCTAACAAAATATTATAGATTGATACATCAAATCAAATTAAATCAAATCAAATCAAATATTTATTATGAAGATTTCAAGTTTATACAATATAGATGTAATAAATTCCAGTCTCCCCTGATACTACCTCAAGGACACAAAAAGCTCTCTGTCTCTATCTTCTCTACCTTGGTACTCCCCCTCCCCCAAAAATCACAACTAAGTATCCTGACTCCTGAGCTCCTTTGGGAACTAATTTATGAAAGACTTGATTCATGTGTGCTATCTCCAGCTTGTAGGGATTTATGGTTTATTGTGATAAACAATATTTATCCAATCAAACAAAGATTACACAGATTGAACCAACAGTTATCAAATATGATTATCAGTTAGAAGTTTGCCAGGCTCAGTCTCAGAATGTTCTCTAGATGTTGCCACAAACCCAAATATTCTCATCCCTAAATCTTAAAGTAAAAATATATTCTGCATTGCCCAGACGCTAATTTTTCAATTGAAAAAACATCTAATTGTAATGACATTGACTATTACTTTAAAATTTAGAATCATTTAGAATATGTTGACTTAAAATCTGAAATATCTGAAGTATCTGCACATTTTAAATTATTTTCGTGCAAATTTTAAAGATATTCAATTTTAAAATCAACCTTTTTTTAAAACAAATTCTAGGGGGAGGGGGGTAATTACCCCCAGGATTCTGGGGGGGGGAAATAACCCCACTTATTTAGGCCACTGCGGAAACTTCTTCTCATTGCTTAGTTGATGATTTGGGAAAGATAAAAACAAGTTATCTTGGAAATTGACAGTATAAATTTCGTACTATCGTGTCTAAAATCTCTTCCTTTGAGGGTAGCCCTGTATTTCCTAAAAGTTGCAGAAAATGTTCCGGACAGATTTTGAGGAACAATTTTGACCCAGAAGGAGATGAAAACTCCAATTAAAGCCAAAACCGTAATATTTTATTTTAAACCAGATACTAAAGCACATTAATCAAAATTCGAAAATAATGCATTTTTTCTGAAAACCGGAAACTGACCCAAAAAATGAGGGAACCGATCAAAAAAAGGGTACAAACCAATAAAACTGGGATACTAACATTTTTTGAAAACTGGAAACGGGCCCAAATAAAGAGGAAACCGACTAACAAACTGAGATTTAAAATTTTTTATTTGAAAACCAAAAAACAGACCTAAAAAAGAGGAAATCGATCAACAAACTGAGATTTTAAAACTTTTTTTGAAAACCGGAAACTTACCCAAAAAATGAAGAAACAGACCCAAAAAAAGAGGAAACCGATTAACAAACTAAGAATTTAAAACTTTTTTTGAAAACCGGAAACTGACCCAAAAAATGAGGAAACGGACCCAAAAAAGAGGAAACCGATCAACAAACTGAGATTTTTAAACTTTTTTTGAAAACCGGAAATGGACCCAAAATGAGGAAACGGATCGAAAATATTAGGAAATCTCTCAAAAATATAAGACCCATATAAACCGAAATCCGACCTAAAAATCTGGGAAACGGATAAAAAAACAGGAAATTCCTCTAAAAATTAATTTGAGGGATTTCCGATAATTTTTGAAAAAACAGGAAACGCCTCAAAAAAATTCATTTTGGGGAGGTTTCCGTTTTTTTGGGTCCGATTCCGTGTTCACGCGTTTCCGTGTTGAGGCGTTTCCATACCACCGTTTAGTTATTCAAAAAGTCAACATTGGCATAACAGTTCAACCAAGCTAATTAAAGGACCACGTTCTCTAACTGTAAATCAATATTGTTTAAAATTGGTGGGAGGTCTTTAGATGAAATTTTTCAAATGAACAGATAACTCCCCTCAAACTCTAATATTCTCATTGGTTACAAAAAGAACAAATTTTGCATAGTGAGAACAGTATCTAAATATTAACACCCTTTCGACAACTTTTGCTAGGGTCGCATGTAAAAACCTTCACCTCAGAAAGGCTTTCGGGTCTGAATTTATTTATAGTCCTTAAGAAAGACTTTGGAGTAAATAAAAAATAGTGGAATACATGCCCATAGTCAAAGGAAATGACTTTTTACCACAAACATGTATTTTCTAAATTGATATTTCAGATCAAATACTGTAAAGGTTTATACTATGTATCAAGGAGATCAGAATATTTGAGTTTAAGGAAAAAACTTAAATAATATAGATAAACTAAATAATGGAATTTTCTATCATGTGTGTGATTGTATTGTGTCTATTGCAGTTTTATTTTCGAGTTATCTTCCATTTAAAGAGGGGCATGAGTCTGATTCACAATGGTGCCCTGTAAACCTTTATCTGATACAACCCAACAACAAATAATCCCAACTGTGATCCTGATTGGATCAGACTTGAAAGGGCTTGAAAGTACTTTTTAAAACAGATAATACACTTTCTCTATCATTATGAGCTTTTGTAAGTTATTTTTTTGTACTGCATTTCAGTTGTTAATAGATGTAAATATCAATAATCAATATAAGAGGTAAATTATATACAGAAAAATAAACATTTCCTTGCAGTACACAGTGAAGTACAACTTGATAGTGTACTTCCAATCAATATCAATCAATCAACATTTGGTATCTCGTAGAACCCTTGATTAACCCTTGGTCTGATACAATCATTGTTCTATAAAAAAGGTGTTCAGTTCTTGTGTTTGAAGTAGGGTTTCCACCGGAATTACGGGTTACGGTTTACATACGGAAATGATCCGGAAATTTTTTCCATTTCCATTATGGAAAAGGTTCCGGAAAACCGGAATTCCGGAACGATTTCCGGAACGATTTTTTTACCGTAAAACGGAAATTTTTCCGGTTTACGTCACGTAATTTCCGGTTTCCATTTATACCGGAATTATCCCGGAATTCCGGTTTACGCAACAAATTTCCGCATCATTCCATTTCCAAAATGGAAATTTTTTTCCGGAAAAATGGAAACTCTAGTTTGAAGCAGATGTTTGCATTGTAAATATATAAAAATCACGTCTGCAGTCCCTTAACAATAAAAGAACCGCCAGTTTACACCAGTTTATAATTTTTCACCTTTCTTTTCAAATAAACCCTGGCCTCGGATTTTAACTGCAAGATCCTTATCAAGTTTAAATTATATATTTTAGGTTTTTTTAGTTCAAATGAAAAATATGGTATTTATAACATACAAAGGTTATTTACATCTAATTTTTTTTTTATTTGGTTCAGTATTGTATCAGGGGTTGAATATTTAAGGTTAATAATGATAATGATATTTAAAATATAACATGATCGTAAAAGTAAAACATAATTATTGTACAATTTTTTAACTAAACCCTAACTGGCTTTCTATCTACATGAACAAATGTTAAATAATAAATTTTGTTCTTTTTATATTTCCACTATTTATAACAAATCAATGGACCCCAACAACCCCCCAACCCCCCTCCCAACACATATCACCCCCTATCTCCACCCCCCACACTCGACTGTATCATGATCATGAGAGCGGACCATCTTTTTATGAAACTTTACCAATTAGGAAAAAATATCTAAATTTTTCTAAAGTGCTTCAAGTAACTATTTTCTCTTTTTTAACTTAACGAAAGTTCGTCATATTTAATTTATCCTCTCACAAAAAACCTATATATATATATATGTTACTTCTTATGCGAATATATATATATATATATATATATATATATACTTTGCTTGTCTGTCTGTTTGTTTGCATCTAATAAACGGCTGAACCGATCAAGCCCAAATTTTGTGTAGGACATCACGTGACCCCAAGGAAGGTTTATGAAAATTTTGCCTCAAACAAAATTCGATTCCAAAAAATTTTCAAAATCCACAAAATTTGTTTATGAATTCTGAAAACTTTTACAATGTGTACAAAGAGAAAATATTCACAATTGAAATAGAAGGGGGACTACAGAAATACTGTATATCGAGGACTTCACAGACCTACAATTAAGGGACTATAGATTTGACAAAGAGGACTGGTGGACTGTAATTGTAGTCTGTAATAGGGGACTATAATTACACATAGTGAATATGGATTAAAAAACATAAAGTTCTAGTTGCGCCACTGAATGCATATAGTTTTATGGTTTTTTAGAAGGGGTCATTTAAGTAACTTAATGTTGTTAGATGCTTCCATTCGTCGTAAAATGTTGGTAAACCTCTGTGTTTATACACTGAACAATTAATAGTTTTATTATTTTATTTATTTTATATATTGCAGAGAAAATACAATTGACTTAGAAATTATAATAATGAATGCATAATTTGTTTAGTTTAATGTTTATATTTTAAATTACTTTTCCTAGAGTTCCGGGTTTTCAGAAATCCCAGTAGAAAAAAATAAGGTGGTTTAGTTTCATGTTATATATTTTATCAAACAATATTGGTTAGTTGAAGTTAACGGAGAAACTACTATTGATTATTTGACATTTACACCAAGTGGAAGGATCAGAGGACAAAAATGACTCCTTCCAAAAAGAAAACTGTAAACTACAGTTAAAGAATTAAAAGGACTGAAAACTCCTAATCCCAGAATTTTTTAAGTTCCCCAGCATTCAAATCAATAAATGTTTAGATCCAGACTTTGCAGGAATCATTTTTCATGAATACAAGAAGACTGATGAACACTGACCTAAGTATAAAGTTAAATGTTTTTGAAAATAATCTTTTTCAATATTTAATAAATATTCAATACTTACATTTTTTGGTATGTAGGTAGGTATATAGGCAGTTAGGTAGAGAGGATAGTAAAGTTGGAGGGTAGAAAAGTAAGTAGAGAAGTTTGTAGGTATTAGTTAGGGAGACAAGTAGGTAAGTAGGTATGTAGGTAGGTATATAAGTAGGTAGGGACTAGGAAGACATGTTATAGAGGGATTGAAAGCTATTCAAGATAGGTTATAGGTGCTGCTAAACAGATTGAAACTATTTAAATAATATATTTATTTAGGGTCAGTCCATATGAAATCAGCCACCTGTTGTGTTATTTATTTTATGGTTCTCAATTATTTGTTGAAGAATGTAGCTGGAGTGCGGTTTTGTAAATTGAGAGCACTCCCTTAGCGTATTTTGTAAGTTTGGAACAATTCCATAAATAATTTGATTAAATTTGTGATTTGGATCTAAAAAATAATATTCTTTGTTATTTTTTACATATTCTGTTTGTTTATTTACTGTTTGTTTATAACTTTAAACCGGTTTACACTAAAATCCATGCAGTATCCTTGGTCATCTGGTCTCACTACCAGGTTAGAAAGATTGATCAAATTTTTATGCATTAAGTCAAATTGGTTAAAATTGTTATTCTGATTAATAATTTGGAATTCTATCATTTTGTTAGTTGGATTTTGTTTGAGAAATCGGCGGATCTGAGGTAGAATTTTATACTAAAAGGCTTTATTTAACCAGTGAAATCTTTGTTTATGTTAGCTTAGTTTAAGCAGTGGTATATTTTGGTAATTCATTATTAATAAAAGCGCTGGTTTTGATCTTTTCTGAAACTTTTGATGAAAATATTTTCTTGTTCTTATTAAACTAAAATCTTATTTGAGCAGTGCATCTTATCAAGCTTTATTTATTCTTATTTATCTTGCACTTAACATATTTTTTTATTTAGCAGACATTCCAGTTCATTTCAGAGCATTACGGCTCATTTTGGTTTACAGCAGAGTCATTAAAGAAAACTTATTGCTCTCTTCCAGGCAAACTTATTGCCTAACACTCTGCTTTACAGTCTACTCAACCTTTGCTCTGCTCAACCCCCTATCAGCAAAACAAGTGAGGAGAAACTTTTATTCTCTGCCAAGTCATGCATAGAGCTAAATTGCTCAGTTTGGTTTAATTCCTCTAAAAACTATATATATTGGTCAAGATTATTGCTCCAATAAAGTAAAGCAACTTATTTCCATAAGCTAAGTTTAATTGCTAATTTAGTGTGTAACTGTATAACACACTATTATTGCTATCCAAATATCAAAGGAATTGAGTCTTTGACACAAAATTCAAATTGTCTAATCCCTATATGTTCGCAACCTGATATTTCAAACTTAGGTTTTTTGATCTGAGAGAAATTATAGTTTGAAATATCTAAGGTCTACGACATTGGGTAGCAAAGATGTAGGGATGTATAGTTTGTGGCAAAGACTCAATTTCTTTCTTTTCCTAAATAGAAGTTGATTTCGTGAAATCTGAACTATCTACACTCTTACCATTTACTTTTTTAATGCCCTTGCTAAAAAGATTTAAAAAAATTAAAATCACTTATTTCCTGCTTTTGTTTTAAAGAAGTATTTTCACGCCAGAATGTGGATATTTCTCAGTGTTCCCCTAATGTAAATTATTTGTGATAAATGTAATGTAAGATATTAGAAATATTTTATATAATAAAATTTATTTTTATAAATATCAAGTTCTTATGAACAAAATTGTTAGGTTACTTGACAAAAAATCTATTTATACATTTTTTGCAGGACCTCGGACGACCCAAAGAAAGATTCATGGATTGTTGAAATATTGTAAAAGGAATTGAGTCTTTGCCACAAACTCTGATTTTCTAATCCCAATATCTTTATAACCCAATGTCTTAAACCTTTGATATTTCAAACTTATATTATTTGATCTAACAAAAGCCATAGTTTGAAATGTCTAAGGTTTACGACGTTGGAATCCAAAGATATAGGGATTAGAAAATCAGAGTTTGTTGCAAAGACTCAATTCCTTTGCCTTAAAATTAAATTTTTTTCGGAAATGTATTTAGAAAAATCTGCAAAATCTTGTTATCTATTTATAAACTTGCTTTGTCTTTAAACTTGTGCAAAGGAAAAATGGTTGCAAGGAAAACAATTTATAGAAAAAAATTTGCAAGGCTCCCATGGAAGCCCAGCATAATATATTCTACCAGACATCACCCTATTTACAGAATAATGGAAGATTATTGAATATATCTATTTTTAGAATAAGTCTGTAGACGCAATATATCTTGGATAGATCAGTCATGTATGTGATGGGAAAATGATGTATTGGCCATTAGTTAACAAGGAATATAGAAATAAATGGGAATTGCAAGGAATAAATTGACTAAATTTGGATTTTTAGTTATGCAAGTACAAGAATTAGACTTGTACTTAGCTCAACGTACACAAATATTCCTACTTTGTACTAATCTTAGTCTAAATAGTACACTAGTTCCTTCCTTTACTTCAATTACACTTAGGGTACACTTATTATACATATATATCTATTGTATTCTTTGCTTCTTTTTCATTCTATAACACACAGTGTTGGTTTTGGTTTTGATTTAGCTCAGGGTATGTAAATATACACAGAGGTTTGGTTTAGCTCAGGGTATGTGAATATACACAGAGGTTTTGTTTAGCTCAGGGTATGCAAATATACACGGAGGTTTGGTTATGCTCAGGGTATGTAAATATACACAGAGGTTTGGTTTAGCTCAGGGTATGTAAATATACACAGAGGTTTGGTTTAGCTCAGGGTATGTAAATATA